GCTCCGTACACAGCAAGTGCAATATGCACATTTTTAGCGCACGCGTGATGATTCACGTGCGAATGGCATGAAAAATGCCGTGTTTTATGTTGGAATGCGCATCTTCGCTCAGCAGTTCATGCAGCATGGATGCGCAGCAAGTCCGAGTAGTTCTTTTAAATATAGTCGCCTGGATATTGCTGTTCGTTGCCTTTATTAGGCCACCACCTCAACAAAATCTGTCTCCCTTACAACATCGTCTTTTTGAGAATTTTCACGGGGAAATATTTCGTGGTAGAGATGTGTTTTCTCTTATATCAAGGCAAGCGCACCTCTTCTGGCGGAACACTGGCGGAACTCCTGCGTCGTTTCTCAAACTTGCGAACGATATCCTCCCAACCTTGCAGAACTTAAGATTAGACGGGCAACSCCGTGTACGCCAGAGGAGACTGAAAATAAACGTAGTTAACCAAGTTCTGCTTGTGATGATGTGGTTACGTAAATATTCTCATAGACAATTTAGCACTGTGGTTTGATATAGACCCTACGTCCGTTATCCGCATTATTTACAGGACGTTACCAGTAATGTGGAGATATTTTCAAAATCAAATCACCTGGCCGAACCTCGCGGAGGGGATAAATCTAATGGGCAGCTGGCCAGAGTTACCAAATGCCGTCGGTGCTATAGATGCAACCCCGCATGAGATTTATTGCCCTCTGGCGGAGCCTCAGCGACCATTTTACAGTGGCCATAGCCACTATAACTGCCTAAACACTCAATTGGTAATGGATAATGAGGGCCATATTCGGTTTCTTCAGGCTGGCTTCTTGGGTAGCACACATGATGCGACTGCTTATAGGTTAATGCAGTCTATAGGGCCCGGTTTAGTCCTAGATTTACCGYCAGGTGTTAAACTGTTGGGCGACAGAGGTTATCCTGATGGAGGAGCTCTACTAACACCTGTTCGTGCAGGTCAGATGCCTCTGTTAGACCAAAGAGGGAGGAGACGTGCCAGAAAGTTCAGCCGAGCTCTATCGAAAAGAAGAGTCAAAATAGAGCATGTGTTTAAAGAGATAAAAACTTTTAAAGCGGTATCTCAGATATGGAGACACCCACGTTGGTTGCTACCTATCTGTGTTGAATTAACAACATTTTTGGCTGAAAGACGCATACGGTTGTTCCAAAGACTGCACTGAGAACTGCCCATATCCTCTGCACGGTAAAAGTGAAACAAAAGTGTTGATGATAGTGAAAGGAAACTTGAATCGTTGCAGCAAACTTTGGTCTACTCAACAAGCCGCGTAATTTAAAACGGGTTGACTTTAATTTGCTTAGTAAATGTTTGAAGGACAAACAACGCCTGTTATGTTTCTATTGTACTAAGCTGAAGTTCAACACAGAGATTGTGTTCATTTGAAAATATCTAAAGAAAATATTTAACAAATCGATAATTAAAACACTTATTTGGTTAGCATACATTTATATGATGTTTGGGGTTTGGAATGGTTAAGTTTTGTTGGAGTATTTGCAAGGATATATTTCGTTCGAAAACAGCTCATTTGAATATTAGCAAAATTCATTAGCATGTAAAAGTGCGATATACGAATTCGCTCTAATGTGTAATTTCCTAAATGTTTTGTTTAGTTTAGTTGTCACAATATAAACATATACATTTTTTTAAAATGARACATAAATTTTGTAAATGTCTAAATTTGTAAATCTGTAAATGTCTTTTTTCGGTGGACAACGTTGATGACACCCTTAAACTTAAAAGTTCTATGAAAGTTTGCATCACCGCTTTCCGTCTCCTTTTCAGAATGACACCCGAGCACAAGTATCGTGTTGCACTTTTCATCTGTCTTTTGCTGATTGGAGACGAATTCACACGAGCAAGACACCTGAATAGCCAGCTAAAAGATCATCACGGCAAGAAAAACAAAGACATTAAACAAACTCCTGACCAAGATAAAGACAAACCCGAAGATGGTGAACGGCTTGATGGTTACACAACTGAAGAATTAAACACTTGCATACAAATGGAAAAGGATCTGAAGGAAGCGCGAGGTAAAAAAAACATCAAGCTCAGACATTTTTTTATTGCTAAGGATTTAAAGTAAACCATTCAACTGATTTTAGTTTCATCAAACGGTTACTCAGGGCACTCAGTCCAACCACCCTTCTGYCTTCATTTTTCGTTAACCAAAAGGCTTCTGATTTATTCATCCATTCATCTATTCTTTCATCCCTTCGTTGGTTCGTGTTTTTCTCAATTGATAGATAGTGATACTAATTATCAATCATGTGGACATTGCAGCAAAAATATCTCATCCCCTGACGGACCAGCTGCATCGCCAATCTCTGGTAGAAGAGGGCGGAGGAAAGAAAGGTAAGCATGTTTYATATCACACATGGAAATGTTTCGTAATCGTAATGATCTCTGATGCAATTTCGAGTTTTTGAAACAATCTGTTATAAAATGTGAGTTTTCAGTGACTTTAGTGTCCATCAAAATTTGTCTTTTTTTAGGTTGGATTAATCCTACTTTAGTTTTCAAGGTCATCAAAATATTTTCCAATGGGGTTGGGTTTCTCGTCAATGGTATAGCTTTAGCACATTCTGTACAAAAGGCAATCGATGGATGTTGTGATTCGGCAAACAAGGAAGCTTGTTCATATCGTGAAAAATACGAGGAGGTGGGCAAGAATGTTGCGGCGCTATCTGATACAGCAGACGACCTACAACTAAAAGGTTCGTATGATACTAACGTAAATCTAGATCTAGACCTGTCATTATTTATACGCGACAAAATGGAGCTGGAAAATGGACCCGATATTGTTTAACATTCCGATTAAATCAAACAAATTTTCGATCGATCGGGACAAACTGCTAACAATTAAAAAAAGATTAGTTTAAATGAGCATTTATTCTTATCAAATTATTCAAATGATGCTTCTTGAACAGCTCACATGCCATATTGTACAGAGGGTCCCCCAGTCGAATTTATCCTACACCTATCTCAAGTGTGCCTGTAGTGTTATATATACCAACTTATGATTTTACATCACATCACGGTGAAGACCGAAGTCTATAAAGATAGAAAACATAAAAATCTTACTTGCTATGACTATTTCATTTTATGTTGTATTAGCACTGTATTAGACAGCAAAACGTTTTTGAAAATTGTAATGAAATGAAATGCTTGCATTTCTCTGGTTTAATGCAAATTCTTTTTTTTTAAATGTTCGATAACGTTATCAACGATATATGTTATAAGTGCATACAGTTTTTATAAACTAACATCTTTTCCATKATTTATGTATTAGCTAAACTAGCACAGATGTGGATCGAGAAAGTGACTGAGGACTATGATGAAATTCTTGAGAAATTACGAAACATTGACGCCTTGGAAAACAAACTAATCCAAGAAATCAGCCCCGATGTTGCTGYTGCAACGATGCGTGCACAAGGAAAGATTAAGGTATAGTAATGTCCACTGTGGAATGGAGATATTTTTTTTTCCTTTTAAGACTTAAGAGTAGATTCCTCAAAAGCTTTAAGTTATTCTTAGAACCTTTTAGAAATAATTCTTAAAATAAGGTGATAATGGATGAATTTGTGACGTTCCTTTCAAGTTTGTGTTTTATTAAGCTTATATCGATTTTTTGACATTCAGTAAACACAAGTTTTTACTTTACTTAAATTTAACAGGAATTAATTAAAGAGAAAAATGAGACTCTGGAAGGCATTCCATTCGTTCAAGTAGRCGCACTTTTTCGAAGTACTTTGCAAAGCGTCTTTGATATTGCTGGTCCTCTTTTGGGTATTGCTATTCCTGGTATAATCAGTATTTATCAGTATTCAAGATATAAAGCAAGAATGCGTCGTCTCGGATACGTAAGTAATTCAGATGTGTCAATAAGTATTACGTACRTTATTGTGGGTAGTCTTTATCAAGCACGTAATGTGCACAGTTTAACAATACACTAAAATACTACACATGACAAAGCAGAGCACAACACGACACACCATGGCACGACACAGCACATCACAACACTATGGCGAGGAATAGCGGTAATATCGCGGGCGCAACCATAGCGGCTTCCAATCGGAAAATTGAAAACAACCATGGCTTCGAAAATATTGGCAATCATGGCAATCCAAATCAATCGTTCCGCAACACATTTTCTATCCTTTATTTCGTGAACTTAACACCATTTAACACTCAAACAACTATCAAACTATTTTATTTTTGATATATTCAGAGCTCAATATTCTCGAAGAGCGTTTCTAGAGGCAACCAAGGCTATATTGCTCTGAAAGCAATRATGTTTCGGCCATTTTGCCGAGAATGGCTAGGAAACTTATGCGTAGTCAATATTGTGTGTTGTGGGGCCAGGAATGCTTATTCTTGGTTATGTTTCATTTTCTTTGAGCGCTCAGTAAAATGGTACATTCTTTCTATGGAGAAGCATTCTCTCTCTCCTATTCGGTGTTTATTTCCTTCAAAGAGCGCTTGCTCTTTCATCTAGCCGCCGCTTCGTGCTCACGCTTGAAAATTGCAGTCGGCGCTTTTATTGAAAGATGTTTCGATACTAAAAAGCATAGATTTATTTGAACACTAAAGTGGTTGATTCTCTCTAGAAAAGCAATTWTTTCCCTGTTTGTCTTGATTGCATACGTCCTTCGTAATTGTTACAAAACTAGGCTAAGAAAACTCCCCACTGAAGAAAACGCCTGCTCTTTCCTCAAGCCACCTGCACTAAGAAATGTAGGCACAAGGTCGACGTTGTTAMAATCACGTGATATCAGTGCCATATTTCATTTTATCACATGACCCGTACGGCCCTGCTCGCGCGCTCTAATAAAACCATTGGAAAAAGTCACGTGATGGGGGCCGGACGGGTTGACGTTAGCGGGCCGGAAAAACCCGTCCGGCCCTGCTCGAATCCGCGCGCTTTCTTTTTTTTATTATTATTATTTTCGTGAGGGTCATATGATAAAATGCTTATTGACTGAGTGGGAGGGCCGTACGGGAAAATATCTGGCTCTCGGTCATTTGTACGGCATCACCTCGAGCCAGATATTTTCCCGTACGGCCCTCCCACTCAGTCAATAAGTACATAGGATGTTTGACTTCATAATGACAGCCAATTGACASCAATCACGAATATTATAAGTTAGCAAACTGACTACAGTACTAAAAACGTATTACATGTCGGCGATCCGATAAAAACTCCACAGGGAGCCCAAGCTCTTTTTAAGGGTCTCTTAGCTTTATTTCGTTATTAAACATGGCTACCTTTGCCACAGGTTTACAGAGAACAAAGCCTCTTGCCTTGCAAGCTTATTTTTAGACATCTTATTTTAAACATATTGCCGGTATATACTTTGGCGTTGATGTTAAATGAATGGCGTTGAYGTAARGTGAATGGCTTTGAAGGCAACCAGGAGCATGTCTTGACTACAAGTGTCTTTTAGTAATTTAAGATTTCTTTAAGAGTCGACCGTCATACATTAAACAATAGTCATTTTGCACAACTCTTAATCGCTGCGCCCTAGCGCGAGCGGATAATCATACTTAAGGACTTGGAGGTTCGCGGAGAGATGRACTTGCTATCAAAATATTTTTCGCCTAAGCATACCCCAACATATGTGTGTTCAAAAAATTAAATAAAAAGTGAGGGTCACCGAATTCGTTTTTCTATAAACCCTGAGAAAATATGGTATTCAGCAAGGGAAAGACGCGCGCTGTAGGGTATCCTAAAGGTATCAAAAAAGACTTCGAAATAACGTTTTTGTTATTCGTAGGGCTTTTTCTCACATACTTCTCTGCTATTTATGAATTCAAGGAATATATCTGAATAAAGTCCTTCATTTCCGGTATGTTTCTATRCAGTCAATTCAAAACATGTAGTAGTTGAACAACAAAAGTCACGCCGGACCGAAAGGTGCTGATTAGAAATCACTGTTTCAAGCAGTTGACTGCATAACTTTATCTGTTTAGTAATGCCTTGGATTTTAAGAGAACGGTTTCTTCTCTGTCGAGCAATGCCTGCCTTAATAGATATCCTATTCGCATCAGTCTCTTTCAGTTTACGCTCGATAAATAGGAATTGGAGAATTGYAAATAAGTTTAGTTGAAACGGAGCAGAAAGAAACTGACATTGAGATTGGAAGGGAGCGAAAGATCGAACTCAGAGAGAGTGAGTGCGAGAGGGTAACTGAACCAATGAAATATACGGGGAGCTATCAATACTTCAGTTGCTACAACTTGGTTCATACTCGCTCTGTAAGGGACTGKYTCGGATAGCTTCGAAATTGGAAATTGAATCACAACTACTTTGTGTTTCTGCCACTAAACCCAAAGACCTGCATTTCATGGGTTGTTATCATCTTATTACTAGCTGGAACGATTAATTCAGAACGAATATTTAACCGCCTCAGTAATTTTTACCTATATTCCCTTTCGATGGAGTCGCGTAGGCTTCACCCAGTAGACGACAACGTTTTAAGAATTGACTATATATTGYCTTGAATACTAATGYTTTTATTGCCCTGGAATTGGTAATGACGTCAGGAGTTAAACATTAAAATTTTAATGTACGTGGCTTAATGCGACAAAAAAAAACATATAGCGAATCTCCAAACTGCTCAATCCAAATACTCCAAAGACTATCATTTGGAACAGCAAACAAATAAAAACGCCTCAGTTTTCTACAAATCGTGGTTTGACAACGGCGTTAAAACCATTGAAACCTTAATAGATCACCAAAACAAGTTTTTAAATTTTTCTAAATTTACAAAATAGTACTATATAAATACTAATTTCCTAATATATAGGGGAATTATTAATGCAGTTAAGAATAGGATAAATCAAATTGATCTACGCCAACTTTGAGACCTAAGAAACACGACCAAACTCTGATAATTTAATGAAGATGTTAGTAAAATCAATAAGACAGCTTTTCGCCAAAACCAATTTTGAAGACCCTACCAATAAGCCTTTAATCGATAACGAAGGGTTTAGTCAGAACGATTTGAATAAAATATACTCACTGTCCCCATYGCAACAAAAGAAACAACACTACATCAATTTTCCAGAGGTTAAAATCATTCACAATATACTTCCTCTGAAAGATTACCTAGGTATTAAAAAGAATGACTTCTGCCCTTCTAGTACCGATAAAAAACGACACACTTTCAAGTACTTCTTCTATCTTGGTGCCTACGCACAAATCTTTTGAAAACAATTCCAAAGTTGGTGGCCGTTGCATGTTGATAGTACTGTAAGTCATAACTAAACATTGACCTTGGAACAATCTTATATGGTCATAATGTGTCGAAATTCAAATCCCCTATTCTTTTAAAGCACCTAATTCTATACTAATTGCAAAGCAGCACATGTATTATAACTTCATAAATAAACAAAATTAAACATTTCAATCATTTCTTAACAGCTCAACCCCCAACGAATATTATTTCGAGAACAAGAATTGCATCATCATTGACTACCAATAAATCATCAAACGTTTTCTTGAGAAAAACTGCATAACTTTCAACTTTCAACTTTCAACCTCTAATTAGTTCTTAATTTCTCGTAACTTTGTTCTGTTTTTCTCTCTACGTCACTATGTTTGTTATGAATAATGACTTTGACCATAATAAAAATGAATGTTATATCGTTAAAAAAATATTTATATCGCTATACGATGTAAGTGAAATAGCAATATTGTAAAAATATTTACAACTATAAAGTGATTTTTTTTTAATATTGTAATTAAAAAGATATATGTATTATGAAAAATTATTTACCAAAAAAAATAACATAAAAATTATACGATAATCAATCTTTGGTATACCCGAAGTAGATGAGTTGGAGGCTTGAATTATGAAAAATTTCGCGAGAATTAATGCGAGTCTAGTTGGCGGATATATTTGAGCCTCAAAAAACGTGTCAAAAACTCACAAAATAGTGCAACGAAGTAAACAGAAGACAAATTTAATAAGTAAACTTAAGTAGGCAAAAGATTAAAAAATTAACTAGAATATTCARTACTAAAAAGTTCTGAAACTGATTACCGAAATTATTGAATTATTAAATAATTATTTCATTATTGAAAAAAAATCCTGATTGCGAGGGAACAGAAGAAAGTGTCGTAAATCCTTATCATTAACAATTACTCACATGCTTTCAATTCAGAAACGTTAAAGAAAGTCACATTTGATAGCCATGATTTTAAAGAAAGTCATATTTGATAGCCATGATTTTTTTCTGCATTCCTTTGATATTTTTAATTTTTTCGAATTGTTCAGTTCGATACCTCGGGTAACGCTATAGCGCGCGTCTTTTCCTCCCTCAATACCATATTTGTTCAGCGTTTAGCAAAATATTCAGGTTCCGTGAATCCCAATTGTTATTTCATTTTTTGAACAAAAAATGGGGTATGTCGGGGTATGTTTATGCAAAGTTTACAAAAATTCTGATGGCAACTTTTTAACCCTGCAGGATCTCTTCATAATTTGAAAGCTCTTATCATAATAAATAACATTGGCCTTTACTTTTCTCTGATATCTCTTTGCCGAGATATTCAATATATTTAAAAAAATCAAGAAATGACAACGTCAACCCATGATCCTATTAAAAAGACTGAATATCTCTGTGAGAAATGGCTCAAAATGCCTGAATATTAAGTTGGTTATAGTCCAAGGTAAAAGGAAGATAAAATAAACTATAGTTCATATTCTCTTAGTAGGACAGATATTTTTTATGTTTGATAGTGTTAAAGGCTTATCTAACCAATATCTCTTTTCTGAAAGGACTATTTTCTTAAAGTTTACAAAACCATTTAATTTAATTTTTGTCTTTTGTCCGTTATTTTGATGACACCTAGTAGATATCAACTCATTAATATATAAATAGCTTTATTATTTATTTTAAAAAAATTAGACATTTGCTATTACATGTGCATGTAAAAATCAGTACATTTCAAAAAAATATGTAGTGTTTAAAAAACGAATAGGAGTGTTTTATCAGGTATAAAAGCACGAGGCGTAGCCGAGTGCTTTTATACCTGATAAAACACGATCTATGAGATTTTTATTTTTATACTTCGATAGAGATTTGACGTCACAGGCATGCGCAACCAGATTCAATAGAAGCTCCCACACGTTGGATATTGCGTGCCAAGGCAAAGACAGGCACGTTAGTCAAAGATCTTTAGGGTTTACTATGACCTTGATGAAGCTCTTTGTCTGATGAAGTCATCCTCATAGTATTCGAGTGGTCTTTATATTAAGATCACGTTTGTCTTTATATAAAGACACATGTGTCTTTATATAAAATCACTTGAATACTAATGAAGAGGACTTTATCGGGTATAARGCTTCATGCACGTGATGTGTATGKTGGCTCAAATTGGACCATAAGCTTATGAATTATTAATGAGTGTTTTACATATATTTAAAAACTCATTAATAATTCATGAAGGAAACACAATAGAAATCATGACCATGAAGGAGGTTTTATATCTGATATAGATTCGTCTACATTTGCAAAAACTTTAACTTGGATTTTCTCTGTCAAACTTGGTTCATTTCGTAAAGAATTCGGTACAGTATGAGAACATACATCAGGAGTTTTTTAAGCCGTTTAATAAACTCGCAGATCGTGTTTTATCGGGTCTAAAACCACTCGGCTACGCCTCGTGTTTTATACCCGATAAAACACTCCTGCTCGTTTATTAAACAGTACATATATATAGAGTATGCCCTYATTGGGGTGTAACTCATCAATATGTAAATAATTATATTGCAATATAATTATTTACATACTAATTAGTTACACCCCAATAAGGACATTCAGCTGAGTTTCATCCATGACTAGTAAAAGGAATCATAAGGAAAACTTATTTATTTCTAAACGTTTTTTCTGCGTGAAACTTGATCTTTTTCAAAATCCGACTTTTCCGACCACCATCATCAGGGATTGAATAAAATTAAGTCTTAAGTCTCAAATCTTAAGTCAGTTATAGCAAAAGAAAAGAATACGTAACAAAGCAACAAAATATGCGCATGCTCACATCTGACATTCTGGTAATGATTGCATTGTTGATTGACCTTTCTTTTTAATGTCTTCTTTAAACAAAGATTGAAATGGAAGAGGACGTCGAATTTAAACTGCCTAAGAAATCAGGTAGTTCGAAATCATTTTATCAAGAAGCCAAGTTTAAACGATGGACGTCAAGACAATGGAAAATATCTCGAATCAAATACCAGATCTCCGATATCAAAGAAGCTTTCAAGCGCAGCTTTAAGAGAGTCAAAAGACTAGCCTCCAAATTCTCGGGAATATTCAGCATTGTCAGCGGTCTTGCAAGTGCTGGTAAGATATATTAGAGATAGGATTATATAGCAGCCTGCGTAGCGGCTCTTGGGGAGGGGKAAGAGCTCTCCGCCCCGCTTCCTCACMCCAGCCTCCCTCCCCCTCCCCCTCCCCCTCCCTCTCCCTCAAACCACGTCTAATTCCGAGTTCAGAAGTCGATTCCTAAACCTTCCCGCTACACCATACTTTTACGCTGTCGGCAGCTATTCAAACATAAGAAATATTAGAAACGTCACTTTAAAGCGGTTTTTTAAACAAATTAATTAATTAATTCCATCATTTTTTTTTCAGTATTTGTTGTATACTCTAAAGCGGTCTATTATTTTAAACAGGATACTCAATCTATAACATGATTAAAATTGAGGAGGAATGTAAACAAACACGAAAAAAAATAAAATGTGCTTACATACAAACCAAGGAGGCCGAGAAGAAGATACAAGGTCAGATCAATTCAATTAAGAACGTTACTGCAGTTATGATGGAGGTACGTCAACTATGATGCATATCGATGAAAGTTGGTATAAAATTATCTAAATGTATATAACTCGTTCATTTGCTTTTTAAGAAAGATGACACCGTTAACAACACCACTAAAAGGAATGTGTGTTTTTCCAGGGTTGGGATATAGTACGGAGCAGCCTAATGTACGAGATGCTACTCACGTCATTGAATGAAACAGGAACCATGATGGCTGGTGCAGCAAATCAAAGTGTAGCAATATGCAAAGTATAACCGATAACATCTTCGGGTTCCTTACTGAAATCAAAACATCAAATGATTTCAACATCACATCCGATGCAAGCACAAAACTCTTGATGGCACTTGGAAAGTAAGAATAATTATTTGACATTTAAACGCGCTAAGGAGGAGTTAATAAGTGGGTTGTGGTAAAATGCTAAAACTGAAACGGCTGAAAGAGCTGAAAGAACTAAAACAACAATGTGCTTTATTTGTACCAACAGATTGCAATAAGGAGAAAATATAGATATAAGTATATTTACTGAAGAATGGTAGGGGTTACCTTGAATAACTATAAGAGCTAAACGAGGTAGGTAACAGAGCTGAAACAGCTGAAAATCGTAACAATCCAAACATTTTATGAATTCAAACCGAAACTTATAAATCTATAAATGTGTATATAACTTAATAGAGTACAATTTAAATCAATTTAATTCAATGTGAAATAAAGAAAACGTATACACCTACTTGCAAGAACGTTGACATACGAATATAGAACATTAGTGATTTAGTGGGATAGGAATTATATTAAAAAAACAAAAGAAGATCACTGAAGCTGAACATTTTCTTTTGTCTTTTAATATATTCCTTTCTCACTAAATTACTAATGTTCTAATATCGTATGACAACGTTGTTGCAAGTAGGTGTATGTAAAAAGTATTCTATTTCGTTTCGCTTCGTTCCGTAAGTGCAATAATTCCTATATTTCTTTTCGTTTCGTTCCGCAAAGTACGGTAAGCCTAAATAACATTAACTTTAACATTTGACGAAATAGAAAGTACTTTGTGCTATTTTATCGACCCTAAGCTTATTTTATGTCAAGAGATTGCATGATAAACAGTTCTTGCCATGTATTGATTTCTACATTTTAAAGGCGACCAAAATTCGCWCCAATCTCTCTACTAAGGAGGTCCTCGTGTTCTAGCTGAAGGTCCATCTCTCTACTTAGAAGGTCCTCGAAGGTGAACTTAATGCCGGCACGTCGCGCGGAATTTTAATTCAAAAATGTAATTAATTTTAATTTTAATAAACATTTAATTTTAATTAATTTAATTCAAAAATTGAATTCAATTTATATAGTTATAAATACTTATATAAATTTATTTCTTCGGTTTGAATTCTTAAAATGTTAAGATCTTAATGATTTTCAGCTCTTTCAGCTGTTTCAGCTTTTTCAGCCGGTTCGATTTCAGCTTTTTAGGCCCCGTCCACACGTATCCGGAAATTTGTGTATCCGTATCCGGAAATTTCCGAAAACGGTTCTCTAGAGTGGAAATTTTCGAATACGCTCCGAATACGGACACGTGTGGATGGTCATATCCGCAAATATTCGAATACGCTGACGTAAACGTAAACGGACTAGTCACTAGCGTGCATCAGGGAAATCAAGGAATTTCCGGATACGTGTGGACARTGAAAACGATTCGAAAACGATTCRAATACGCTGCGTGTGGACGCGACCATTTTCGTATCCGCAAAAAAAAATTTGCGGATACGCGTGGACGGGGCCTAACTGCAACCCGTCAATACGTCATACATATCTCGACGGGGTGCAAAACACCAAAAAGGTGCTGAAAGGAAAAGGTTCGACAGTTCTTGATACCTATTTTGACTTATTTTAATCCATAGGAGGTTAACGGGTTTTGTGTGTTACAGTTGAATCCCGGGAACTCAACCCTTGGTAACTCGAATCTTTCGTCTCGAACCAAGATAGATAGTTTGTTTAAAATTATCTCGCAGCCCGAAAGGCTAAGTACAAAATATATTATAAAATATAAAATATATCTTTATCTGTAAAAGCTATAATATACTATAATATAAACATCTTCTTATAAGAGCTATAGTATACTTAATTAATTAATTAAAAACTATTTATTTCTCAATTAGATAAAGTAAATGTAAAACTAAAAAGGGTAAAAAAAAAAAAAAAAAAGACTAAAAATCATTACCCAGTGCACCGATAAGTTCACATGAGGACCGATGATATCACTCAGTTGCACATGGACAAGACAAACGAATTCCGGCTTTGCTCGGTTGATGCGGACAAGGGGAACATTAAACCTACGGCTATTTTTTAGATTCTAACTCTAACAAATTAAATGTCTAATGTTTATGCCCTTTTTCGATAACATTGGATTCAAAAAYACTTTTGACAAAGATAACTGCAATTTCTTCTATCTCTTTAATTCCAAGTATTTGAATCCCAGCAACGTAATCACAGTCTGTTAAGATAATAGAAATTTTTCGCTTTTCAAACATTATGATTTCCCTTGATTTACGTGATCATACTTTTACTGTAATTTTACCCTCTGTAGCTGGAACCCTCAATAATTCGGACTCCCGTAACTCGAAGCAATTTTCGTTTCCCTTACATGCAGGTCGAACTTTACCCTCGATAAATCGAACTTTGTTTCAAGACATAATAAGTTGAAACATAAGCTAGAATATTAAGTCATTTTAAAGCAACAGTAATTTGTGAACCACAAAACGCGTTAGTTCATTCCTGTGAGCCATGAAAATATATGATATAAAGCGRAGTTAGCAAAAAGTCATTTCGACTAGTTTTTAAGGTTTCGTTTTAACAAGCTTTGCTCCTTTTTTCTGTGTTCTTAGCTAAATTAACTATAAATATTGTTATGTATTAACCTTTCTCCGTCATAAACCTGATGAAACGCTTTATGTTTGAATAAAGATGAAAATATATGTAAAACACTTTAATTTATTATCGTTTCCCGATAACTCAAACTCCCGATAACTCAAACTTCGTTTCATTTTCTCTGGAGGTTCGATTTACCGGAATTCAACTGTATATATTATGTATAATAAAGTATTAAAGAAGTGCAAAGGATTACAAATTTTACCTTTACTCGACAACATCAAAGAGGAAAAATGTTTGAGTCGGGTTTGGGGTCTCAAATTATCGTAATTTCATTTCATCTTGCAATTTCTTTCTTTTGTTTAGGATACCTTTTTCTTTAAAATGCTACACAAGCAAAATTAATACTCTTAATGCAGTTGTCAGTGACTGTAAGAAAGGCGATTATTCTATTAACAAGCTCATAAAGAAATCAAAGAAAGTGCCTGAGAGTATAGACCCAAACGATATAAACGATCCCAGGAACTGCAGGGATAGCATTGGGTTTTTGTACATAGAAGACGACCACTTTAAGGAGGCCTGGAAAAAAGTAGCTGACAAAGAAGGTTACCATCCCTTGTGTTTGATGAACAAGCCCCTCGATAGGGAGAATATCTGCAAACAGATGAAAGAAAACCTTTTGGATGCTGAACAAATTGCCGCCAAAAGCATCAACTGGGATAGAGACGATGTGCAAGAAGTAATGGACCTTCTAAAGAAATTTTTTTCTCCTGGAGAACAAAGGTTAATTTGCAGAAATAAAGAAAGGTRCAAGCATCCAAAAGAAAAGAAGAAGCTAGAAGAACGTCTCAAGATGACATTTCCAAATTATAAGCTGGAGGATCTCTTAGCTGTGAAATGTCCAGCACCTGATTCTAATTCTGAAACGTAAGAGAAAATTATTTATTTTAAAAAAGAATCAAAGCAAAACAAAATTCTCCCAGCATCCTAGATGACTAAATCATCTTCACTAAGCAATCACTAAGCAGTCACTAAACAACCTTCAAATCCCAGTTATGGAACTCTTTACTTAACACCCTATGGGAAAATCAAAGTCAGGGTACTACGACAACTCAAACAAATCAAAACTTATGACACCACATGCAGTCGAAGCTCGAATATTGTGTCAATAAGTGTATGTTGTTCACAAAATTGTTTTGGTTTCTGTTTTTGTCGTTTTTGTTGTTTTTGTTGTGGTTGTTGTTATTGTTTGCGTTTATCTAAAATTAACTTTAAAAACAGCAACCTTGTCATGCAGCTATGCAATAATGTAAACGTTTATTTGCAATATACGTCATATATCAGTATTTAGTATATACCAACGCGAGAACCTAGACTGATGGAATGTTCATAATGGACGATATTCACCAAAAAACACGGGATAATGTTGAAACAAAGATCGCGGCTCTAAATTCACGTTTTACAACGTCCTTTTAGAGTAAAATTGCAAAATTCCTACGAAACCCTTTACCGAAACACAAAGAAGGCCATAAAATATCAGGCCCGTAGCAGGGGTAAAATTATTTGGGGGGGGGGGGGGGGGGGGGCTCGTTTTGCCACGCCCCATTTGACCGTTCCTGAAGTTGATAGATCCTCCCCATGTTATATTTTACAATCAGTTGCAGCAAAATACGTTTACAATTGTTTTGCTCTGCGTAGTGAAAAAAAGCAACAACAACAAAACAAACAAAAATCAATACTTGTATAATATTGCATAAAGATGATTAGGATTAGTAACGCATTTTATCGAAATAATTATATGAACATTTATATATACAGAATATATATGTACGTATGACGTGTATGTGTGGAATATGTGAATATAGATATTATGCACATACATAAACATACGTATATATTCGTAACTTATTTGGATCTAAGTTCATGTGCAACTTTGTACAAAACGCCAAATAAAATATGTCTGYCTGTCTGTCCGTATCGCCGATTGAAGCATTTGAATGGTTTCTTTCAAGAATGTGCTTTTCCGCATGTCGTTTTGAGTTTTCATCATTTACAAATGCTAACTGTGTGAACTTTTTTTTGAAAAATGAGTCGCCTCTATCATTTTTAAGATAATAGTGTTTGAAATTTAGCTGGACGTTTGCTTAAAAAAAGTTGTGAAATTATTGGGGGGCCCAGGCCCCCTTGGCCCCTCCCCCGCTACGAGCCTGAATATTATTCTGTAGTAAAAATTCATTGGCTGACGAAGGCTTAAATTCCACTTTGAATTTCACAGCTTTCACTGGGTTGCCTGTTGCAAATCAGTCTCAAAATCAGTCTCGTTTCTCCGGGTATTCACGACATTACCCAAGAGCCCAATGTCCGCGTATTGACAGTTGTCAATCAAATAAACGAAATTACCAAAGTTATTGATTGGAGACAGGGCAGCTAAGTACGTGTCGAAAATTATTACTTCGCATTCTCTTTCTCGTTAGCTGCTGTAATTGAAGGCTGATCAGTTAGAAATCGGCCTCCATATTTGATATAAGGATGTGTTATTTGTCACGATTTGTACCTTTCAAAAATGAATTAAATTTAAAAAGAAACAGTTTAATCGACCTTTTTTATAGGTCCCCTTGTTGGTACATACTAGGACTCGTATAAATAGCACAGTTATTCACTTCGCCTTCTATGAATAATTGTTAAACATTTTGTATTATGCTATTTGCATGCAGAGGTATTGTCATGCGCACTACACTATAGCTATTAATGGTAATTGATGTTATCATTTATTGTCATTTTTGTTTGCAGGTGTATTTCAGATGAAGCATTTTCCACCAAGCAACTTGAGCGTGAAAAACTGGAGTCTGGATAGTAATGAGGTGGTAAAATTATCCACAGACGTTTAAAATATGTCATGAACTGCATGCACACAGTATCAGAATTAATAACACAGAAGAAGAGAAATATTAAAAATCACTGCTTTGAAAATAACGAGCGTATTTTCGGGGCTTATCGGGGTTCTCATTTCATCAGAGCAATATATGCTATGAAACCTGCCTGTTTGAATAATTACTTTAAAAAACCTCTGATTCTAGCCTCCTCCACAGAATACCCCATATATTCTCTATTGGGATCCCCGTGTTAAATTTTATGTCAGAGAAGAACTAAAGGACAAGTTATACCAAATCTAACACTGCAAGGGTCGAAAGAACAGTAAGAGTGCATGCATACCTTTGAGGAAATCGGCAAAATATCAAATAGCAACCACTAGCAAAAGTGGAAAGTAGCTCAGGATATGACAGCCTTGAGCGCCAGGAATCCAACTAGGGAATTAGACTCTCTTTCAAGACTGTCAACCTAGAGCGGGAGGGGCCGGGAATTAGGACGCAACCATTTTCAAATTCGCAAATACTTAGAAAAGAAAATACCTCGAAAGCAAGTCCCATTAAGTGAGATGGCATTGATTCAAACACTACGAACACCAATAAACAATAATTGCCCGCAAGCCGAATTAACCATGCGCAATGCGTTCAAAGAAGAGCTTTTCAATTAAAAAAAATTAATTCCCTTAAAATCAATATAACAATTGCCCGCAAAGTTTCCATGAGCAATACGTTCATAGCAGGACTTTTCAATCCAAAATCTCACTTCAAATAAATATAACAACTTTCTGTATAGCTAGCTATGATCGATACGTTTAAAGCAGGACACAAGAGTACCAGAAAACAAAATTTCGTAGCTATCTTCGAACTTATCATTGGAATTTCGGATGAGCATAGATCAAACATGTTGCACTGTCAAGACCGGTTCAACTTTACAAACAAACAAAGACCTGATAACAATAGGTTTCCTAACCATTCCCCTCTATTTACTATGGTACCACGTCAACAGGATTACCAGCAAGCGAACACGTGTTACACAACAGACTAAGCATGTTTGCCCCAAAACACTAGATTTTAGCGTTATACAGAAATAAACATCAACGGCAAAACATACCTAACCCACTCGTCGATACTACTTGACCGTAGAAAAATTTTTTAAGGCCTTTCTTTTTTTGCTGCATAGAATATAAAAAGAATGTAATTATGTTTTCAAAGAAATAGTAAACGTATTTCATTCTCTATTGTGACCTTGAATGAACTTGACAGGTTTGAATGTAATATCTGCAGGAAAACCTACAAATATTTCAATTATCATGTATCGAGATATTGAGTACCAGTAGTATACAGAATGGGGGTTCTTAGAGCAGCGGATCACGGATCAGGCGTAGAAGTGACGCCAGAGCTCGTTTGAAGTCCCTGTTTTCCGTTGAGCACAGTGGTAGAGCATTTTTGACCTGGATATGAAATGACTCGAGCAAGGAGCTAGAGTAACTTACCTAACCTTTTTAGTTTTTCTCTCTTGCACCCTCCACTTCTTAATATCATGTTCGTAAATATTTTTTTTTGTATTTTTGGTTTTGGTGTCGCAATTAAAAAAAACAACCTTTGAACCTTTGAACCGTTGAAAGGGATCATAGATGACATTGATGATATTCTAAAACTAACCGAGTCACTATAAGGCTTTCAAGGGCTTTCAAGGGCTTGCAATGCCTTATTATCCGCGTACATGACTTATACATTTATTCTCTTGAAATTCAATAAAAATAACAAATAAAAAATATAAATAAACAGTCGACTTTCTTTGAACGACCACTCTCGCCGCGACCATCTCCAGTAAGCGACCATTTTTTGAAATTCCCGTTTTGTTCCCCATATAAACTCTGTAAAAAACTCTCTCTTAAGCGACCACTCTCGTAAGCGACCGCAACCACCATTGCGGTTCAAATTTTGGAATTTTTCATTGTTTTTCCTCTCCCGTAAGCGACCACCCAAGAGCCAGTCAATGCAGATCCTTTAACAATAAAAAATTGAAGAACATAGAGTCATCGGGTATTAAAAACCCGACGAAATATTGACAATTATACTACTGTAAGCATATAGCACAGTTTACTAAAACCAAGAGRATATGAATTAAGAGAAGGAATTCCCGTGCCCCATCATGTGCACACTTTGATGCTATTTTTAGAATCTATTCTAAAAATATCATCCAATGATATCATTTATTTGATCGTTTGTTAACGTTTTCTTGTGCTTTTCTTATGTTCAAATGTTCAAATCTGCCCTCAAGATGACGATGAAGGTCGAAAGCTTTGGAAAATAAATGTAAAAATGCTCCAGAAAGTTGAACAAATTACTACTTCAATTTCCTGTCGTATTTGCCAAGCTTTCGACGGGCACATTCATATTCAGGGCAGAGTCGAAATAAYGGAAAAACCCCAAAAACGAKATCAAACAGCGTAGAGCGCRCGCGAAAATGCGCGTGCAGAAAAACAAATCGTTTAAAAATAGCATCAAACTGTGCACATGATGGTTACAACGCWATATAGGGGGAATTCCTTATCTTAGTTCGTTTTCTCTTGCTAAAACAGTTTAATCGTTAATACAGTAGTTTTAGAACGTGAGTTACAAATTATAAATGGTTTAGGCTTCCTGTGTTAGGATTCCCATCGTTTGGGTTTCCTGTGTTAACTCTCTTATAAGCGACCATCTTCCGTGAGCGACCACTTTCTGGCCCCGAGGTGGTCGCTTACGGGAGAGTCGACCGTAGATTGAAAATGTTAGATTTCAAGCGCAGAAAATAATGCATTGTGGGATCCTTTTGTCAAAATAAATCGTTGGGTTCCCTGTGGTTTTACGATGCCCCATGATGCTTTGTTTTCTCACTTTTCCCGCTCAAAGAAGCGAGAGTATTCCAAAGATGTTGAAACAGTGTTAGGGCTGCTTTCTTAGCCAGGAAAATACCGTAACTAAGAAAATTAAAAACTCTAGACCCTGGATTGCTGCTAAGGAATGTATTTTCCTGGTATTTTGGCAAAATACCAGGATAAAATCGATGTTTTAGCAAGACTTTTGGTCGAGCGTTRKAAAGCAGACAGACCACGAGGTAAGCTCTACCGTTCTCACTTCGTTCTAGTAGAGGACACAGTCTAATTCAATAGCCTCAAGAAAAGACTCAAAGCTATACAACAGAACTTTTTWAGATTATCCCACTTGTCAGTACAATACATATTCAATATATCACTAAAAGTGAATTTCCTTAAAGTGCTACTACGACGAAAATCGCTCAAACTTGGATTCAGCTGAAACTTCC